TTTGAGAGTCAGGCATTGGTATCGTGCAATGGGCATCGAGTGTCGGTCTTTGATGTTGAGACGACGTTAGAACAAGATGAGATGTCAGATGATGGTGGGGCGTGATTGTGGTGTAGAAATGGCTAGCTTCAAGCACATCATATCAAGTTAGTATCTGATTTGATGTTGAATGATGATTGGTTTGAAATGTTTATGTCGTGATTGGCATCAAACGTCGCGTTGTTGTGAAACCTTAGTTGTGAACCGTCAGAGAGAAATAAACCTAAATGTTTGAGGAATTGGGTATTGAGTGTGAACAATTGATTCGAGACTATGGATAAGATATAAGAAATTAATTTCATTTTTTAATAAATAAAACTTGATATGAAAGAAATTAAATTTTAAATTTCTTTTTATAAAATGTTTAAGACACGCATGTCGGACACGGATTTTTCAAATTTGTTTTTTAATATTTTTTTTAATCAACAACATTTCTTTCAGCATGTCCCACAAGTGTGGGAGGCGTGTTCTGTCTGATATCTATCGGACACCGCATTCTCTCTGTTGAGGAGAAATGTCAGTGCAACATAGATCCATATTTTATATATGATTTGGAGAATAATTTTTTTATATTAGATATAATATTAATGGCTAAAATAGTTTAATATTTAAAAAAAAATATTTTACTTGTATAACTAAATTGATTTGTCTTAGTTAGTGATCCGTTTCCTTGACAAATTGATGTTTCTTGCCTATCATTTTATGTATATAGATTTAGGTACGTATGTAGCGACTTTTATTAGTAGCCGTGGAGTGAACGAATAAGTTAAAAGGCCTGTTGCCTTGCCATTTGGAGATGGCCAACTTGATAGGTGAGATCTCTTATGAAATAAAGTTGAAGCAGAGTTAATTTCTAGAGAAGAGGGTGCAAGACGAGGAGAATGAAAATTGCATACATGATGATAATATATATATATATATAATAAAAATAATAAATCTCATTTCATATATGTTAAATTATACCGATTTTCCACTACTACATTAGCATTTATTCACTTCTCATGAATATAGTTTCACCATGAGATTACGAAGGTCAAAAAGTTAACTAATCATGCAATGAAATTTAAAAGATTAAAATGACATTTTAAGAAGGCAAATGGAAAGCATATGCCTTAAGAAATGAGGGAGGGCATAGGAAACACAATGAATGAAGTTGCTGGAGTTAAGAAAAACAAATGTTTAAGCTAAATTTTCAGAGTTTCCGGTAACCAGCAAACTTTTAAGTGACGGGCAAGTAAATAAATAAATCATGGTATTCGAACAATTAATCAAGCTCAAGCAAACAGCCAGACACTAACAAAAATGGGATGTTACGTGACGAGATTATAAAAAAAAAAAAGCAAAAAACAAAACTTTGCATTAAATTGAATATGAATCTACCTAATTAGACGGATCTACACAACCGAGATACTAATTTTCACTGTTAAAACATGCTCATAAAACCATCAGAACATCCAAACGTGAATGATTCCACATGCATTAAAGAAAAACATGAGAGACCAACAGATTTGACAACATGATTATACCAATGGTTTTGTTTTTGCTGAGTTTCCATTTGAAAATATACCAGCCACAAGAACGAGCTGGCCTTCAAAACATTATTAGCTCGTTCAGGAAAACAAGAAGTTGGGCTAAGAGCATATCTAAACAAAATTATCCAAAACAACACAGCAGAAAGTTCTGGGCAGGTACTTGGGCTCAATCAGAAAGCATTTAAGAGCAAAATGCTGTCTTAGAGAAAGCTTGAGCCTGGAATCACTTGAGAGAAGAGTAGTAGCATATTTATTGATTTGTTTTACAAATGTACACTAAAGAACGAGAAAAATATCGGGTCACTTCCCAAGGATAGTCTATCTAGATGCAATACATCCACATTCCTAGAGAGCATGACCCTATATACTGATGCCATGACTAACAAAGCACAGCGCGACTTATTGCTTAGGTCTATATGAATACCATACATTAATCTTGTATTAAACAACATAGAGGATCAAATATCCAATAATCTACTCTTATGCCATATGTTCCTCACGATCATTGAACAACAGTAACAAATAACATCAACTTTTCAAAATTTGCATCAAACAACAAGAGAATAATTTCACCATATAAAAATAAAACACAATAGCAAAAGGGAAGTCCAACAGAATTACATTGATAACTAGAAAAAAAAAGTTAAAAAGAAAAAGTTAAATAAAAATTTGATGGAAAGGGAAGATAAGAACATTTTCTAAAAAGAATACAAGAAGTACAGACACAAGAAAGACTGCATTTATAATCATCCTAGTAAATAACAACATATGTTAAAAATTACACAATTATCCAACTTTAGCAATCCTTCAAGGAATTAATGTGCAAGAGTGGCCCTAAAACTCTTACTTAATATAAGAAAATAACCAAGTAAATAATTAATTTAAAATTGCTCAAAAGCATGAGTTTACAAAACAAGGAAATGCATGCACAACCTATTTACTCCTTGAAAGGCATGATTCATAGCACTAGGTGCATTCCATGCAATTCACATCTTCAGAAATAGTCTCGAATAAAGCTCACATTAACAATGTTTTAAAGCAAAAAGCCCTACCTACTCCAGAACACTTCTTTTTTTCATTTTTTGTTTGGATTCTTATGTTTTTCTTTAGTTCAAGGTAAAGGTAATCCAGCAAAATATATTCTTTGCACAACAAAAACGGAATCCTTTGATAGCCTATTCTACAGATCACACTGTAGCGTGACAGTTCTTTTTCTTTTTTTTTTTAATTGTGACAGTTCAATTTAGCTGCTTGCTAAATCAAACTCTTCATAAACATCATATAAATCTACTATGATGTTATCATGTCAATTTTAGTTCTCAGTTATAATAAGCATTGCAGATCTTCCAAGGCTGCAGAATGATGCGTTAAACCTTCCTTAAGTTTGTCTGAATAAATTTACTAACTTTATAAACAACCTTTTGGTTAGAACATGGGATATTCGATGAGGTTCGCTTAACACTATTTTCCCAGCAGTCAGTAAAGATGATTATGAAAAGTTTGGGTCCCTGTTCCCCAATTATTTCCACCTTAGTTCGCTTTCTAGCATTACGGGTTTAAAAAAAATAATTGAAACTCTTATACAAGAATCTAGCTTTACAAAGTCAGAAAATATTTTCCAAATGAAAGGAAAACTTCATGAAATCAATGTGCAATTAAGTTACTCAAACTTGAACAGATTTGCCTGTTGTCATCAGATAGTGCCAAATAAAGAAGAGTAGAAGACCATCATATAAATAGGAGTGTCATATAAATCATCATCCAGTTATGTAGGGGTATTAATATCCAATGTATGCATTGAATTTTTGAGTTATACAAAGTTATATCACCACCATGGTTTTGATTTAATGTTGTAACTAATTAAAGGCTTAGGGCATCTCCAACCAAACTCCATAATCATGTTTTGCGTCTACGAACTGCACCAATCAAACGGCAAAATGCGCTTTAGTCTCGTGTTGGCGTTGCACTATTCACGAATGCATTCTTTTGGAGGAAACAGAGAATGCTGAGGCAAAGAAAGGCTAGCACTTGTGGAGCTTGCGGAGTTTGGTTGAGAAAGAATATATAAGGAATATTCTTTTTTGGTGTTAATAAATAAATTCAATTGGAGAAATTACTGCATTTTGAAGTGTTGCTGTATTTTGAAGTGGAAAATAAGTTTTTCGGTTGGAGATGGTCTAAAAGAAGCTCACTTACTTGATTGCAAGTCAAAATGAAGCAAAACAAATAAGTATAAATACACCTTACTCGAGTAAAATAAACGCCACAAACTGTAACACAAATGCAGAAAAAGCATTACATAATCATCACTTACTGAGTTTTTAAGCATTGACGGTGTCACTGGCCTAAGTTTCAAAATTTTCTGGCGATGTAGCTCCTCAATCTTTTGGGAGTCATTAGGTTGCTGCAACCACAGCATAACATCAAAAAGAGTGTACAGACAATCAATTATTGCTAAAAAATAAAGTGTGTTACACAAATCACCTGGGCTGTTGCACGAACTCGTCCTGGAGCTTGAGCCAATGTTTCAGCCATACTTAAGCCAGTTGAATTGCTTGAAGCAGTTGCCAATGCAGAACTTGTTTGTAGGGTAGATGAAACTACTTGACCATTTACTCCAAGGATGGGAGGCACTTCTGCCAAAGCTGATGTCCATCCATCACCACCAATAATCCTCGAAGCGCACACAGGGAGATTATTAATGGCAGTGCTTAGACCTGGAGAAGATACCCCACCTAGATCTGACCCCCAATGCCTTTCTTCAGCTCCAAGTGAAGGGAAATCTCTCTCGAAGGTAGATTTAGTAATGTTAGTGACCATACCACTAGAAAGAATGCCATTACTTGAATTATGTCCATGCCTTTTGAGATGGGAGTCAACACGTCGTCTTGACACCATTGAATGAGAGCGCCTCAAGTAGTCATTTTCAGGTGTGTTAGCAACCAATGAATCTGGATAATTGGAAAATCCATAATCCAACAAAAGTGGTTTATCTCTGTCCCAAAGGTCGGGATTCTTCTCTCGATCCCTATCCCTATCACGTTTGCTCCAACCAAAACTATTGCAAACCGGTGAAGGAAGGTCCTTCTCCCGGCCCATGGAGCCATTGCTGCTCACACTTCTCCGGAAAGACGATGAGGCTTTATCGGAGAAAAACAATGAACGTGGAGCGTCATGTTCACATACACTTGACAAACTGTTTCTTGATGGGAACACATTGGTATGTTCATCTGGTGCTGCAATAATATACAACGGAAAGAATTAACACATAATGAGGAAAAAAAGGATGATCAAATGTTATAATACCTGAATGTAGGGATCCACTATTGTGATTTGTGTTGATGCTGCCAGCTGTATTGTTGTTTACTCCTTTATACCACTCCGGAACAAAGGTTGGCTCACTTCGCTCCATTGCAGATAAGGACCATCATCATCTAAAACATAATTGAAGAGCGATCAGGGCTTGAATCATTCCACCTTACATATGAATGCCAAGCTTGAATAAATCTATCAAATTTTTCCTTCTTATTCTGTACATGTGAAATATCAAAAGCCACCGGTAACCCTTTCAATTCTAAAATGAAGAATAACTCCTAATCGGAAACGTCTTTTCCACTCACAAATTGAGGCTGGGCAAAATTCGCCTAGATGGAGGCGTGCACCACCAAGGGTTCAAAATCTTACAGACTGCCCTAGAATCCTTCAGCGGCCCCAATAATGCAGCAGCACTAAAGGGCTCCTAAAATCCCCAAAAACTGAAAATATAAGGTCCAAAGCCTACGCTTCCATCATCAGCAATTTGAATCAGAGTAGTTTGCGACAGCGCTCAAGAGAAAATTATCTCCAAATCCACCGGGAATTCACACATAATGCGGATGGCACGAACAACCCTAATTAAAAGTCTTCATCCCACTGTCAACCAAACCCCAGAAAGGTTAAACGAATAAAGATCAGGAAGCCAATACCATCAATTGTTGCAAGATTTAGGTGCAAAGTGGTCGGCGTCGTAGCACAGGGAAGAGAGCGAAGAAGGGAACGGTATACGACCCTTTCCTAGAACTGAAGTCTGAAGCCCTAATCCTCTGTTCAATACCAACGGGCAAGTCTTAAGTTAGTTTCGAAGCAGCGCAGGTATCATACAAGAAGGCAGAAGCTGCGGGCATAAAGGAGGATTGAAAATCCCGGAAAAAAGATTGGATTATTCTTCCTCTCTCTCTCTCTCTCTCTCTCTCTCTCTCTCTCTCTCTCTCTCTCTCTCTCTCTATCTTCTCTATTATGACTAATCTCAACCTCTCTATTTCCGTCTCTTATGGAACGCAATCCTTTTCGTTTCGTCGATTCTTCTTCGCTCGCTTATATTTCCGATTTGTGCTCCAACTTCTCCTTCGATTTACAGATTCTTCTTCTCAGTTTGTCGCTCTATCTCTCAATGGTTAGGGTTTCGGAGGGCGTTTAGGAACGGAGGCGGTTCGGATTCCGGATGATGGAGGGAAACGGCAACAAGGGAAGGGTTTCAGGTTTCTCGCTCTCTTCTTTCCTCTGGCTTCTATATTCTATTTTCCTCTTTTATCCGTGAAAACAGAACATAAATTTGGCATTTTTTTCCTAATAGAATAAATTGAAATTTATAGCGTATAATCTCAATCATTAAAAATTTGCATATTATTTTGTTATTAGATCTTCTGAAAAAAAAAAAACTTTTAGTAGAACAATTTGTTATTACTTCAGTCGTAGAGATTATATATTATAAATTTCTATTTGTTTTTATATAAAAAAATAAATGTCCAAATTACATTATGATATATTCTACTTTCAAGATTTAAAATTTAAAAGAGAAAAATATTTTATAAAATAAGATTTAAAAAATAGAGAGAAAATATTTTCTTATTACCTTTTCTCTCCATTATCTTCCTAAAAATAACTAATGAGAGGTAGAGTGAGAAATTGAGAAGAATGAACATGTCACCATTAAATATATGTGATCATGTTGCTCCTTACAAATTCTTTTTTTCCAAAGAGGTCTCATCATCTTTTTAAGAGAAATGTAAGCAATAATGGTTCCATGGGATGGGAGGAGCATGGGCAACCATGATAGTGGTAGGGATTGAGAGAAGGATTTGGCCTTCGGGACAAACATAAACCATTTTTGTTGGATAATGAATTCTCTAATTATGTAGATTCATTGGCTACTAACACATTTCAAGATGTCTCGGCTGATAAATTATTATGTGCGGATATCAGATCGTCTGGAGGCGAATCAGAGTGCGCCATGTCACATATTATACAGCGGGTACATAGTAAAGGGGTGACATGACGCGCTCTAATTCGCCTTCGGACGGCGTCCATATCCGCACAGAACAATTTCACCTCAATGAGGCTCTCCCATTCCCTAGTTTCAAGACGGCATGTTAACTCATGTCTCAAAAGTTTTGTATTTGATTCAAGAAATAAAGTTATTTATAGTAAAAGTATGGTAACTGGCATTAATAAATATATCTTTCAGAGAGACTTCCCAACATTTGGGGCTAAAAAAAACATTAGGGATCAATTTGTCATGTCCCGGGATCTAGTGAAAGAATATATCTCTAAACCTATTTATCTCAACCACAATATAGATTAAATGAGTGCGAAGTAGCAAATCTAAAATAATATTAATAGTCTTAAGTATTATCAAGATTTTATTTCTCAAGAATCATATACAATAATTCAGTTCAAACAAAATATATATATTATGTAACACCTTAAATTCTAAATTGAAAAATTATATCTTATATATATTTTTAATTCTTACTAGAGCTATTAATTATCCATCAATTTAATAATTCCAGGGAAAATCACTACAAATCATATACATTAAAACTTAATTCTATATTCATTCTTTCAAAATATGATTTAATTGATCTCATTTTAACTCATGACTGCACAAGAATTAAAAAAAAAAAAATAAAGAACAAAATGAAATATGAAAAATCCTAATTTACCTCATTGTGCAAGATTCTATCTTTTTACATACCTGAAATAAAAACAACATAATGAGTTTACAAAGTCCATAAGGCAATTAAAACTACCAATACTTTCAATGCAAGGTCCTGATAATTAATATGTCTGATCATCTCAATCATTATAAAGTCAATAATCATTAGTATATGCAATAAACAATCTATGAAATTACTATAAAACCCAATAAGATTAGTAGATCTAAAGAAACTCATTAAGCATAGAAATATATCAACACATAAGAAAATTAATAAAATTCTATAAAATAATATCAGGTAATATGCAGTAAAACATGCATCGATTATCTATCAATTATATTCATGCCAATAATTTAATCATATATTTATATCAATCTTTATGTCATATATTAGTGTGTAATATTAGTATTCCGTACCAATATGTTATATCAATAAGTATTAATATCTATTAGTGTCCCAATCATATGTTATTGCCTATTATATTGGTCTTAATATTGATTCTATCAATTATGTTTATCAATCATTTCATATGCTTTTATGCTCTTATGTAAATGCATTTAAACATGGATACAACTATGAATAGCATGACAAAACATTTAGCTAGTTACATGATGTTTTTTGTATCTTATATTATTATCAAATGTTAGGTAGTTATCTTGTAAGAGTTGTCACTCCTGCCCATTGGTGTATCTTGTCTCCTTATGACTCTCTATCTTGTATCTTGTATTGAGGTTTAACCAAAAGCCATAATTTAATGGAAAGCTCACCGGCCCATCATCAAGATACCTTGCTTCAACCAATCTGAATTATTTTACGATTAGACAATATTTCTTGTAATGCCACATTTATCATATATCAATCATATCATTTTATATTCAAATTCAGTATCATATATGAAATGTAATTAATAAATGAAATATAAGAAAATCTATATACTACTTATTTTTAAAAAATTATAATTATCAATTTACCCAATGAAATTCAATAATACCACAATCAAAATGCTCATATGAATTATACATATTATATGCAAAAAGTTACACAGTAGAAGTTTGATAAATCATAAGAAAAATGTATTTTTATAAATTTAAGAGAAATTAAATTCATCAAATATAGAACAACTAAAAACAAAGAATGATTCAGGTTACCTACCACAATAAGAAGAAATCTCAAAATAGAATCTACAAAAAAAAAAAAGAACATGGAATAATTTTCTGCTCTTTTTCTCTCTCTTCTCTCTCCCACGCTCTCTTTTGCTTTTCCTCTGCCGTTCTTCTTTAACCTAGCAAACCAAGTAGAAGAAAGGGAGGGGAGGTGAGATTTAGATGGCTACTTATATTATTATATTATCATATATATATATTATATATATATATATATATATATATATATATATATATATATAATATATATATATATATATATATATATATACTACTGTGTCAAATCATTTTAAAATATTCCTAAGAGCTTAGCACCGCGCGACGACAATTTTTTGGTGCCTCCCAACATTGATGCTCTCATAAGCACATCACTGCAACACTCCAGCTTAAAATTTTCAAAATTTTCAAATTTTAATTTTAAAATCATTTTCACAAATTTAAGGTTATTACAATCTATCCACTTTGAAAAAAAATATCACCCTTAATATTTCAACAATTAATAAAAACAAATCAATATTAAAATAAAGTCAATATAAAATAAAATTAAACCCATTCAAAATTGAGTCGATTCTCAATTCAAAATAAATCGACACGATATTAATTCTACAATAAAAAATACAAATAACTAATGATCACTAAATTATCATTCGTTGCATTCAATCAATTACACATTTTACGCATATGCAATGATTATCAATAAAATTCAAATGCATAAAATTGAGAATTATACATGTGAATCTGTGATGCCCTAGAATTTCATTTGAAAGATTTTTTTTAACCTTTAATTTACACAACCATAGCCATCTAATTTTTTTATCAATTAAAACATCGATATTTATACATCATCAAAAAATTATCTTGATCGGGCACAAATCTCGAGGTAAAATCAACGCTTCGGCTCCCAAATTTGGAAGGTTTAACCACAATTTGGATTACCAAACAATTTCCAAACATGACATGCTTATAATCGAATCGAGCAGCTAGACAAGACAAATCTAACGAGCCCAAGTTTACAGAATTTCGACATCATTAAGACCTTCAAATGTCTAACGAACGGTTCATGATCAAGTGATTCAACATCGGTCGTCCATCCAAACCACTCCCCATTTGCCTAAAATTGGGACCATCCGAACTCCAATTTCAGCAAACTTATAGTTAAATTGAACGTCTCTTAAATACGAACCCAACAACACCAAAGTCAACTCAATCCTAGCCCAAATGGGCCCGAATAGAGGAGCCAAAGCGCTGTTGGAAGGTTCAACCACAATTTGGATTACCGAACATGACATGCTTATAATCGAATCGAGCAGCTAGACAAGACAAATCCAACGAGCCCAAGTTTACAGAATTTCGACATCATTAAGACCTTCAAATGTCTAACGAACGGTTCATGATCAAGTGATTCAACATCGGTCGTCCATCCAAACCACTCCCCATTTGCCTTTGATCTTCATCCTATGTGCGAGTCATGACACTCTAAGAAACCCATCAATCGACCCCTCATTCCTCTGGAAAAAGGACCCCTAAGCCTCAAGAGAAAAGAGAGAGATCGGAGATCACTCTTGCATCCTTGCCTCCTTTACCACCGCCTGAGGTTCTGCCGAACCACCACCTGAGGCCCCGAGTGTATCACATGCTCATAAACATTATATCTGTGTTAACTCAGTGTTAGTGTCTAGTGCACATGCTTAATATATTTAATTTTTATTATAAATTTCATATAAACTTTTTTGGAATTTTAAAAAATTATTCATAAAATCGAACATTTTATTTAGAAAATTATGGTTAAATTGGTTTGCAAAATGGACACATGACGGTCAAATTCTTATTTGTATTGATTGGTACCATTTTTTAGGGATTTTTATCAGTGCCCAAAAAATATGAAAAAATTGTGTAATTAAAATACATCAATGTTATAGCAAAAATGATTTGTGATTTGGACTTATATTGACTCCAGCAAAAAAAAATATTTAACAGGATTAAACATGGGCTATTACAAACTAAATTACAATATCGGTGGATCCTCTTAATGCGTTCCTAACACTATGTTAAATTTGATTATAAATACCTATCCCCCAACAATTCCGTGGGTTTTTCCCTTTTTTGAGCTTTTCGACATTAAATCTTAATCTCCTTTATTTTTCCAATGCTTTTAGTTTATTGCTTGTTTCATTACTCCTCATCCCCAACAATGGAAACACTGATCAGCCTTACAATGCAAGATTCATGTCACAGATTAATCTGATATGACCCACAAACTAGATATTTCATATCCTGTTGATTTGCAACATATGAATTCCAGGATCTAAGGTTTAAAATTTTTTCATATTTTATTCTCCTTAAAAACATATAATAATAATCACAGGGCTACTAACAATATCTAATGTATTGAAAATAAACTCATCTACAAAATGCTCTTTTTAT